TTGAGGATGAAGCCAAGGATCGTGCAATAGGAGCGAGGAATTGACGAAGAGGGTCGAGAGCGCTTTTGGGGGCGAGAAAGATAATTCCTCAGAGCTTACTGTGACGCGCATGATTGGTGCGTCAGGCGATGCGGCCACTGTGCCTTTGATGGTGCGGGAACTAATATCGGTGTAGTATAACCTTGCAGCAACCTCGTCGGAGGACTTGAGGCTCGTGCGTGAGGTCTGCGAGCTTGCGTCTGCCACTGGAACGAATGCCAAGGAGGCTGTGAAAGCCCTCAGGAGAGAATTGAAGTTGCGTTTCATAGCTGTGTTCCACTTTGTATACCGTTGACAGGGCACTTGGGATAAAGATATGCAGGGCCTGAATCTCAATTATCTGCTGCTAGGGTAAGTACTCCCCGTTTTGCCATTGCTTCAAGATCCTTGATTTCTCACCTTGACAAACTCTCCATCCAATATACATTACCATTTGCATAGTTGTTGGAAATAATGCTCCGCAACACGTCCGATATTTTCCTTACTCAAATCAGTTCCCGTAAATTTATTGACACCCTCGAGGACGTGCTAATAAGCTCAAGAACGAGCCCTGTCGTTAGAAAACGACTAATGGAGGTGCTCGCAGCAGCGGCCTTTATCACCAGCTCACGTACGTGGTAATCTAATTTTATTCTTCACGATATATCCCCCTTGCTGAATATCTTTATTACCTTATCTGCTGTTTACTTTATATACATTTTTGGGAAGCCCGTCTTTATCGATCTCGAGTCATGCCCTTGTTCCACTGAACCCCATTCTTCACAGGTCCCCTGCCTTTGTCACCCAATGATCGTGGCAGTGACGGATTTCGTGCCCTATGGATGCGCTTGAAACCTGCTGACAAGCCTCCTGTGGGGATTCCCTTCGACACTGATGATGCTATGTTCAGCCCCCCCGGTTCTACGCGTCCGCCAATAGATGAGGTCAGTGCCTCTTTTATTTGTACTTTATGACGGTACTCTGATCAATTTGTGTGCTTTATTTTGTCCTGATGTCTTGTCACGATTAGTGGCCATCAAAGAAGAGTCTCCACCAGCGTTGTTTTATTCCTCCCGAGGACATGAAACTCTTGTTCCGGCTATGCAAGACCGCAATGGGAAACGCGATTGCCCTTAGCGAGATGCTTGCACATGCAAAACCGGAGCAGATAGAAGGGAGCCCAATACTCGTGCGTATTATTTCTCAGTTGACCTCTGCTCTCATTTTGTCAGTTTGCCACATCGCCTTGCATGGAATTACTATTCTCCTTCATCATCAGCTCTTCGTTTTCTCTCCTGTTGTTATTTGTCTGACCGATGAACAGGATTGTCTGTCAAAATGCAACGCATCACGGGAACTGATCTCCACCCAAATTCCATGGGCGTCTGAAGGTGCTGAACGGTCGCGCAATGACAGAGAAAGGAATGCAGAGGAAAATAGACATACTGAACAACAAACCATAGAGGAGGAACTTCTCGACGCGTTGGTTGACGCGAATGAGGCGCTGCTGGGGGCATTGAATATGTATGACGATGTTGTGCGGGTGGCGGAGGAGCAGGTGGCTGTTGATAATGTCCGAATCAGTAACGACGTAGAGATAGACCGAATAGTGAGTGTCTTTTCTTCTTTGCGTTAGGGTCATTTTGTTTTCCTTGTATTCTCTGTCATTTCCCCGCTTTGTCTTTGAATTTTCTCCCCTGTACCTCCTGACTGGGACTGATATTTGGTATAGCACAATGGGAATGGGTACCTCGGGGAATCTCACCATAATTATGGAGGTAGCTACTCACGCACCCCATCACCATCATCACCTCCCTCGTCCCGCCAAACTGATCTCCTTCTGGTTATTCCTTCACAAACCCGTCCCCTTCCTCGGATCCCGTTAGCACTCTCTCCTACCCATTCGCACTACGATTCTCCATCACAGTTCTTGAGGACACCAATAATGCCAGCACGGCCGCCTCCGCCCATGGGACCTCGTTCGCCTTCATCCCCGTCGCGCCCGCCTGTGCCAGATAGGGGTGGTCTTGCATGTCCACGCGGGAACTTGTTGGAACGAATAGATTGCTTGCGTACTGATTCAGAAGAAGAATTTCCCATACGGCCGAGTGTGAAGCCGCTCGGGCAGAGGAGGGTCATAAAGGAAGTCGATGACGGTGCGTTATGTTCTTGTGAGACAAGATCTGTTGTTCAGCTTGCCGTAGTTCCCACGCGTTCGTCTTATCTCGGATACCAGTTGGAAGATGCAGCGCTTCATGGCGCTCGCCGCTATGACGAAGCGATCGAGGCCTTTGAAATCATGCTGTCCAAGTCGGACAATGCTCCTGATATGCAGACACAAAGTACGTCCCCGAATAACCACATCCTTAAACGTGCTTGACTTTTTCTCCAGAGCTGCGCCAACAATACGTCAATCCATCCGATGCAGAAGGAGCTATTCAAGAGGCCATTCACGCTCAATTCGACGACGCCCCACTTCGCCTACTCGACACCACTACTGGCCTCTTGTGTGATCGAGAGGCACAGATATGCACCTTCAAACTGAGCACCGAATACAAAGAACTTCTGTCATCGATAATCAAACGTGCAGAGATCCAAATGGAGCACATCAATAGAGTGGTGGCGTCCTACTTCCGTTGTGCCATGTTATCACATAGATGGGAAGTGAGGGAGCCACTGCTGCACGACATCAAGGACAAGGTCGTGTACGAGTTGAACCCCGTCGATGGTATCGTGAAGTTGCAGTCGTTCTGCAAAACTGCACGCGACATGGACTATCGATGGGCGTGGGTTGATACCTGTTGCATCGACCAGAAGAACAATGTCGAGCTCCAAAAATCACTCAATTCCATGTTTGACTGGTATCGTCACTCGGCACTCACGATAGTCTACCTTTCGGATGTTCCACCTTTATCCAGGTCTGGCGCACTGGCGAAGAGTGCTTGGAACACGCGCGGATGGACTATGCCGGAATTCCTCGCTCCCAAAACTGTTCTCTTCTACCAAAAAGATTGGACACTATATCTTAGTGACCGCTCTCCGAATCACAAGGAGTCTGTCATAATTATGCAGGAGTTGAAGGATGCGACGGGCATAGATACACTGGCCCTCGTCGACTTCCGTCCGGGGATGGCAGGCGCTCGAGAGAAACTTCGATGGGCGTCCGTGCGTGTTACAACAGAGCAGGAAGATGTTGCATACTCACTGTTTGGCATATTCGGTGTCCACCTACCTATCATTTATGGTGAGAAGAAGCAAAAACGCGCTTGGCCGGCTCCTGCAGGAGATTGTGGCTCAGTCGGGTGACATTACTGCGCTAGACTGGGTCGGGAAACCATCCGAGTTTAATAGCTGCCTGCCAGCTGACATTACTTCATACAAAGCTCTGCCATGCGCGCTGCCATCTCTGGGCGAGGACGACATCCAGACATCGGTCTTATGGCTGAAAAATGCCGTAGATATTGATGTGGCTGTTAAACTTTATAACTTACTTGACAAGCTGGGCGCTCCTCTTTTCACAAACCGCAGACTGCGTCTGCCTTGTATGGTATTCCCTGTCGCAGAAGTCAGACGGAGCCGTGCTCACGACCAGGAGACACATTTCGTGTATGAAGTCAAGGCAAACGGACTTTGTAACCTGCTGATCACCACGGAGGACAGGTTGTCTCGATTTTCGCGCACAAGGTCTACTCTCCAGACATTCTTGCTTGTCCGCCCTTGGCATCCTTGTCTCCTCGAATTACCCGACTTAGCAGACAATCCACACTGGAGCATGAGCAATTGGTCTGCGCGCGAATCCGTGTCCCGCGATTCTCGCAGCGTGTTTTCTGACGAAATAGAGTCGATTAGTTTGCAGTCGCGGGCATTACGATTGATCGTTCGCCTTGGACAGCCTTTTCGCGCATTTTTGCTAGCACGACAGCGCGATGGAGAATACAAGAGAATTACGTCAGATCGCGATATCATTGCACAAGTCAAAGACGCGGCGGGTTCTGTTCATAAAATGATGGATGTCAGGACACTGGAAATATCGTAGCTTGATCGTAGAGACAGATCTTAACATTTATACCTCGATAATATGCCTACGGTCATACACAAGTACCCGAAGCTTGACTCGTAAACTAGTCTGCCTATGCGCGCTTTTGAAATGTTGAGGATTTCTGCCCTACGCCACTCGAGCATCCGTGGTAGTGCATGCCAGGCCGGTCACAAGCCTAACTCATAGCGATGTATATAGGAGGAAAGCGGGCCGTCATCTGAAACGCTTCAAGTTACGCGTCCAGCGTCAGCCGTGCTCAACACCGAAGCCATTTGTTTGGATTTCTTCTCCTGACCGTGTCGCATTGTATTGAGTATAATCAACATTCCTTGTAGAATGACGATCGCTTTGGATGGTATAGAAGATGTGTAATCTGAGAAAGGCCACGTCCAGAGCATCCCAGTGTTATACCTCAACTTTTTGTCAAGTCCGTGCGATCCCGTGTTGCCGCTGTGGAGTGTTGCTGATATCGAACACTTGGTTTACGACGCGGCTGATTTGGATTGCAGGATATTTTCGCCGTGGCGACATGTGTTTGGCGACTAGATGTCTCGGAGAGTCCATACACAGGCCGGTGTTCTGGTTGCGGTCCTGGCGAGCTGCGCACCGCATAGATTATCATACGGGAAGGTCTTGGGTCACGATATAGAACGGACTGTCTTCCTTCTGCTATGGTCTGACTTGGGGAGATTAGTCATAGGCGCACAGGCATGTGTGGCAAGCTTCTAGTATACCAGCGAAGCGTTGGACGCTACCCGCCGCTGGCCAGTACTATTTTTAACGAGGAAGCACTCGAGGACGATGAGTTAGTTGGTGAGAACCCAGTAACCGCCAAAATTTTGTAAATGCAACTGAGCGTGGTGACATGGGGAAAGACATCCATAGGACAAGCTCCATCAATATCCACGATGAGCACAGCTCAGGTGTCCATGTCAAACCTCGGCCTCATGGAATCCTGGATGATCCATGGCATTGATACTTGTCTGTCATTGTTTTGGATTGTTTGGATTGTACCTCATTCTCCTGATCACATACCAAGAACTACTAGTACTAAGTAGTAAGTACTACTAAAGATATTGATATCAACCTTGCAGATCAACGATGACCACACCGTACACGCCAACGTCGTTCATCCAGATGACTCCTAGTACACCAGCACGCCAAGTCCAGCGCCAGCGCCAACGCGCGGTCGTGGAACAGGTGCAAAACGCGGCCGCAAGCCTCGCGGTGCATTTCCCAATGTGTCCACCGATACTCGCCCCCCACCACAATCAGGGCCCAGCACATCTTCGCCTGCAACGCGATTTACCCCGGCCCAGTGGGCGATTCCTGGAGTCCCTGCAGGCGCCACTGCCACTGCCTCGACTTCTACTGTGACAGTCCCTGCTGCCCAAAGCACCGCCGCAAATACTGGTGACGTATCGATGGACAGTGGGGATGATGAACCCGTAGTGACGCAGCCTCCGCCCGTTACTGCTGCTGCTGCTTCAACGGATACGGTAATTTCACCGCCTGGGACGGCCGCGAAACCTGCGGTGCCCGGACGAGGACGTAGAGGTGAAGACGAGCTTTACCTGCAATGGCGGATGATGACTACTCTGCGCAGTTGTCATGGCAGAGCGAGAGCAAGGATAATCTGAAAGTAGCTTGTGGTATTTGTTTGATAGTACACCCTGCTCACGAAATCGATCTAGGGTGCTTATGGACAAGTTCAGTCCGGACAGTATGAGCAGCTTTGAAAGCCTACCGACGCCACTGCACTACCGAAGCAAGCTATACGGAAGGTGCGAGCTCGTGATAATGATAACAAGATGTTGCAACCTCACTTGCAATGCTATGGATAGGTTATACAACAAACGACAGGACAGCAAGTTTCTCAGCCCGTTGCGCAAATAGTAGCAGGTGTTGCGAAAGTGTTTGTTGGCGAGATCGTAGAAAAAGGTACGCCTTTTGATTTGCGCACCCTGTCTTGCGTGTTCTCATTTATTTTGTATTTAGCTCGTCAGGTTCAATCACGGCGCAATGATTCTGGCCCCCTCACGCCAGACCACCTTCGTGAAGCGTATCGGATGTATCAGGCAGAGACTGGGCGTGTGGGCAGTGCGCGACCAATGCGAGGGAAGCGTCTGTTTGTCAGGTAGTGAGTCAATGTCAGACTTGGCAGTGCCGTTATGTCGCAACCTAGACGTAACTTACCACCTGGGAACACTTCTTAGCATTCGACTGTTATATGCGTCAGTAGACATGATGTACATGATGGGCTGTACAAAGTTACAAGTGCCATCATATGAGGTGGTGGCTTTGCTATATAGTCATTATCGCTTGCATTACGCGAGTGCAATCACTGAAGCTTGAAGTACTGATAGATCAACTGGCGGTGTATATGAGTGTTGCCAAGACTATGAGACCGGCCAAGATTGCGTTGACCGACGCTGCCGGGAATTGAACGTGGCAGTCGCGACGAATGATATGACTTGTCACGTGATGGCTGTAGCTGTGATACACAGCCTCATGTGTAAGTGACTGAAGCTCAGGCCTGTAGCCCTCATCAATCTACTCCCAGCTCTTTTCTTTCTTTCCTACCAATGAAAAAA